AGCGCGGGCGGCCAAGGAAGCTCGAAGGGCGGGCGGCGGCGGCGAAAACTCGGCCCCGGGCTGCGGGAGCCGGAGACCGCGGCGGCTGCTGCAAGAGGAGCCCAGGGGACACCGCCTCTGCCCGCGCTCTGCCTCAGGCCATCACTGCTCCCCCGGGGCCTGTGCGGACTCGCCTCCGTGAAGGTGAGCGATGGGTGGGGGTATCCCCGGGAGGTCGGCCTGCCCTCGTCGCGTGCGGCCCCAAGCGTCCCGGGTTTCGCCGCGCGCCCCTGAGGCTTTCCTGCCCCACGCCGGTCCCGGCCCCAAGGCCTAGAGCGGGACTGACCTCGCCGCCCTCGGTGTTGACGCCTCTGGCAGCGCAGCGCCGCTGGCGCCACTCCCTCCCAGCGTAGCCCCGGTTGCGCCACCCTCTGCCCAGGCGACCCTCGTGGCGCGGCTGAAGGCCCCGGGCTGCGGAGCTACCGCTCCCCCCCGCCCCCAGTCTCCTTGCGCAGTGTGGAGGCTTCTGGTGTCTGGGGCCGGGGTAGAGGGCTCGGGCGTGACGCGGCTTCTCCTGCCGCCGCCGCCACCCTCTGGGGCGTCCTTCCTGCCGCGAGGACGCCCAGTCACTCCGGCGCTGCTCCAGGCCGGGCGGGGTAGGAGGGCTGACCGGCAGGGGCCTGCGGACCTGGCCGTGCGGCGAGGAAGAGGATGCTTTCTCATTGCCCGCGAGCTGCGTTTCGTGACCGCAGCTCTCTAGAGGATGGGATGGTGGAGGGATACGACCCCCTTGGAGGTCTGAAGGGAACAAATGGAAGCACTTGTGTGTGTCGGCGGGTGGGGAGGGCGGTCCATGTCATTTGGAGGATTAGCCTCTTTCGTCGAAAAACGGAGGATAGAGGACGGGAGCTGTCCCGGAGTGCCTTTTTAGCTTTTTAAAGGACCCCCCCTCGTGACTGAGGCGGCTGGCTTGGGGCCTCTGACCATCCTCCTATTTGGAGGCACATGTCCCTTGCTTTTTTCCCAGGAAGGAGGAGCTACTAGGCTGGGCACCTTGGACAGGGGTGTTTGGGGCTGGACCTCACCTCTCAGACGCCTGGGGGACCTGGGGTGAAGAATCGTAGCATTGTAGTCACAAGATCAACGTTATGTAACCGTAGGCTCTCTTCTGGAGAGTAAGGTGGCTTTTAATTACTGTGATAAAGTTGTTCCTTTGAACAACTTTTTTGGGGTGGGGGAATAAGGCAGTGGAGCAGGTGAGCTTGCTGGCAGAATGGTGCCAATTGCATACTTTCACTTCGTTGTCCGTAACGAGGCCCCACCCCCATCCCTGGGTTTATAAACAGTGCCCCCTTCTGAGTGGTAACCTGGAATAGGCCACCAGGTGACACTAGTTTTCTTCACTTATGAAGAACCTTATACTATCAGAACATACTCCCTGAGCTGCTATCTTAACGTTACAGAAACCCACTGAGGTTTCCTCATTGATCTCATTTCAACCATTGGTTTTTAAAATGAAGATGTTGATTGCTCGACGTCACATAGCTAGTCAGGGCTAGCCTGACCTTTCCTCAGCACCAAGCTCTGCTTACAGACTTCTCTTGACGGAGTGTGGAGGCAAAAGGTCTACTAATCTTTTGCTCTGCCAGTCTCTGCTGAAATGGAACCGGCCCTGCTTAGTTTAACAGTGCCAGACCAAGGTACTTTGATGCGGTCAAGGTCTCAAGGGTTGCCTGGCTGGCAGCTGGTATGCGTGCATTCTGTGCATCTGGTGCCGGCTGAAATACTAGCTGTGAGTTCTGCTTTCTCTTTCAGCCCATCCAGCTTACAGGCCAGTGTGGCCTCAGCGTCAAGGCGGCCTGAATGATACCAGGGATCTCTCCTTCAGCAGGCAGGCAGGCCTTTGTGTAGCCTTGGATCAAACAGGGCTGGAATGACAGCATCTTTTCTATATTGGTGCTTTTGGGGGCAGAATGGAGGGATTGTTACTGCTGTGTGTGACGGGACTGTGGTCAAAGACAGGGCAGGATTTTGCAGCTCATCGTGTGATGGGACTGTGGTCAAAGACGGCAGGATTTTGCAGCTCATCCCCTCTGTTGTGGCTAGCCCTCTTGGGATTCATCATCTCATGCCAGGAAGGGTCTGTGCAGGTCTGCCTCAGAACTCTGCTTACTGTAGGATGAATGCCATGGCCCAGAGAGCAGGGATATGAAACAGGGCTGTTAAAATAGTAAGTCTTCATCTTTCTTAGCTACTTTTTAAAAAAAAAAAAATCCTGTCTCCAGGTTTTTCCTAGTCCTACATTTTTGTTTAGGGGGTAAAAAGTCTTCAGCACTCCTATGAGGAGAATAAGATATTCTCCCCTAATATAAACTTTTGTTTCACTTAGTGGGTCAGTACTTTTTGAACGAATGAATAACCTTGACATGGGGAGGCAAAGATCCAGGGAAATGACAGATCGGTGTTGGAGCTGGATCCAAGATCTAGGGCTTTCAAAAAATATATTGAGCTTTAAGGAATGAATGTTATAGTAAGTGGGGAAGCAGAAGGAAGGGGGATGTATAACTTACTGGCCAAGTCTGAGGCTGCCACTCCACCTCTAAGGGCTGTCTCAGCCCTGGCTACTTAAGAGAAGGCATAAATATCTTTTTCTCTGTCCCACTGGGCATTGGTATCCTGGAATGCATACCCCACCCTTTTTTGTTTGTATAGAACAGGTTGACAACTTTTTTCTGTGAAGGGCCAGATAGTGAGTATTTTAGGCTTTCAGGACATACAGTCTGTTCCAGCTACTCAACTCGGCCATTGTAGTGTGTTCTATAAAATTTTATTTTACAAAAACAGGTGGTAGGCTGAATCTGGCTGATGGACAGACCCTTGTATAGGCTATCCTTGTTTGGAGATGCTCGTCTGTAACCTTAGTTAATCCTTATAATAACAGCCCCAATAGAGAGCTGTCCTCATTGCTAAAATGGGAATAATCAAATGCAGAAAGGCCAAGTGGCTTCTTCAAGACCACGAGAGTTCAAAGTCAGGACCAGAATGCAGGCCTACTGAGTCCTAGTCCATCTTCTTTCCACTCTGATACCAATGATGTAATAATGGTCATTAAATCAAGGGCTTATTCTGTTCAGGTGTTATGTCACCTGGTTAATCCTCAGGACAACCCTGCAGTTCCCATTTTACAGATGATGACATAAAAGTACAAAGATTAAGTAGTTTATCCAAGGACACAGGTAGTAGATGGTATATTATAATGTCATTCTGGCTATCAGAACTATTCAGAATATCAGAAATAGACAAATTTTAGAGTTGGAAAAACCTCATTTTAAATATGATAAAAACTGATGTCTTATGTCCTTTTTTCCTGTATTTCTCAGGGCTGGGGAACATGTCTTTGCTAAAAGTTTAGGAGCTCCCTATCCTAATGCTTCATATCTGTTTTCTATTGCCCTAACCTTCAATACTCCCCTCTCCCACTGAGGCCCCCAAATTCAGCAGCTAGCATTCATTGCCCAGAGCTTGAGTTGTCAGCCTCACCTCTCTGCTCTTTCTGCAGTGTCACGATGTCTGACCGGAAAGCAGTGATCAAGAACGCAGACATGTCTGAGGACATGCAACAGGATGCCGTTGACTGTGCCACGCAGGCCATGGAGAAGTACAACATAGAGAAGGACATTGCTGCCTATATCAAGAAGGTGTGCTTGGAGAGCTGTGGCTGGTGGCCAGGGGTGGGGATTGGCAGCTGAGCTGCCCTCCAGGGAGGGCTAGAGCTGGGGACGTAGGAAAGCCAGTATATCTCATGCGAACAAAACCCTAGGAATTTTCAATTTAGGGAGTGATGCTGAACTGCCAAAGCATTCATCTTAGGAGTTCTTAATAGGAAGTCTGCTGGGGGTGTGTGTATGTTTACATTTGCAGATAACTATGTGACTACAAGACATTGGGGAAGGATAAGAGTATGCAGAGAAGCTTCAGAATTAAATATTACTGGCCCAATTCAGAACGATTCAAAATTAATCATTCAGCTATCCTCGGTCTTCATATAAGACTTAAGCAAATTTTCAAGGAATTGTATCATTTAAAGTTGGGGTATCCCTATAATCTTATCATGTAGGGGGTTTCCTTTTTCTTTCCCTTAAAAAGGACTCAGGTACTGCATCGTCCCCATCTCCCTACATTCTTAACAAAAGGGTGAGCTTGAATATATACTTTTTAAATATGGATGAGCAATACTGGGGAGATAGGTTTGGTCCCTGAAAAATTCCTGAGTGAATGGGTGAGTGGATGTGGCTAACACTGTGAGGAAACAGCTGAGTCAAAGTAAGAAGGTGTATCTGGGCCCTCTGATTCCCAGTCAGAACCCATGTCCATTGGAGACATAGTCCTAGTCTTTGACATTCTCAGCTCTGACATGGCAGTTTGGTCCATAGAAGTGGTAGGGTCTCCTTGAGTTTTACAGAACTGTTTTCCTACCCAGATGGTTGGGATGAGAAGAGTAAACTCTAGAGTCCCTGAGAGACTCTTTTGTGTATGGAGCTAAGAGGTGTAGAGTCAGCTGGGGGTGCCAGCTCCTTGCTGAGTGATGGCCTTGTTCTGTTTAGGAAGAGAATCCAGAATCATGGACTCTCAGAGATAAAAGAATCCTTAAATTACCTAGTCCAGCTTTCTTGTTTTGCTGAGGGGAAGAATGAGACCCAGGAAAGTTGTTGTAGCTTTCCTCCATTACAGAGTCTTGAGCCAGGATTGAAGCTGGGTTTGGTTTCTACTGTTCCCTAGTGCCTCTTGGAGTTGTGTGGTGTGGGGGCTGTGAGGAGGCCAAACAAATGATATGTTGAGCACCTGGGGTGACAGAGAGCCCCAGGGTTGGCAGCATTAGTTGGACCAAGGTGGAGGGCTGCTGCCCTTTCAAGAACACGGCAGGATGCATCTAGAATTGAACCTGCAGTCTGAGCCACAGGGTGGCAGGCAGCTGCCTGTCTGATTAGCTTACAAGGATTTCCTGTGTGATTTTGATGCTGAACTTGTGCCCTTGAGAGAAGTGAGGGAATTGCCTTGATCTCATGACTGAGGTCCATTTTCTGGTGGGTACAGTCCACACAGTCCCTGGCACACAGGAGTGCCTTCAGTGCTGACTTATATAGAACTGCTTCCTAGTACTTTGATGTTTGGTCCCCATTTGGCTCTAATGTCTTGCTTTTTGCCATTAGGAAATGCTGGTTTTAGTAATGTGTGAGGCAGCAGGTGGCAGGTCCCCATTTGTATCATGCTGTATGTCACTGGATTGGTCCTTTATTCCACTGGCCTCTCTGATGCCCTTGCTGAAGAATCAAGGCTAGTGGTGGTGTTGAGGGGGTGGGGAGGAGAGAGATGATCAGGGTGTAGAGTGCTAGAGGCTCTGCAGAGAAGAATAATGGAGGCTTTGTGGTGTTCCATTATTAATGAAGGGAGGAGTGTCCTAGTCTGTCATAGAACCTGAGCTCCTAAGGTTCGGAGAGCTGGGGCCGGGGGTGGAATGGGAGTGATAACTAAACGTGTCGGGGCTGGAGTTGCAGGGAGAGACCTCCATTCTAATTTCTCATCCTCCAGCTACCTAAATCACCTTTCTTCCTACCCTCCCCCCCGCCTTTTATTCTTTTTTTTAGGAATTCGACAAGAAATATAACCCTACCTGGCATTGTATCGTGGGCCGAAATTTTGGCAGCTACGTCACACACGAGACAAAGCATTTCATCTATTTTTACTTGGGTCAAGTTGCAATCCTCCTCTTCAAGTCTGGCTAGGTGGCTCTGGTGAAGGTGTCAGTGGCGGCGGCAGCGATGGCAAGCAGGCGGCGTTGCTGGGACTGTTTAGCACTGGGGCCAGCATCAGGATGTCCTCTCCAATGGCTGTGCTACTGCATGGACTGTATACTCGATTTCATGTGTATGTCGCAGTAAACAAAACCAAACTTCTTTCTGTTTAGTTGCCTGGGGAAGAAGGCTGCTTTATGTTTATTTTTCAAGACTTTAAAATATTTTTTTGGTTGTATTGCACTAGGAAATCTCTCCCACCCCCTCCCTTTTCTCTTTCTCTCCCTATACAAAATAAAAAGCCCTCAACAAAGCCCAAAAGACTAGGAGGGCTGAGGAGAAGAAATAGGTCTCTGGAGGTAGAACTAAAACTGCAGCTGCCTCTTCCTGGTGGTGAACGCTGCTTTGGCAGGGCCAGGGAGGCTGCAAGGGGACAGTGTTAGGATTGACAAGGAGAGAGAGATAGGAAGGAGGGTTGGTGGGATTGATCTAGTACCAGGGAGAATATTCCATTGAACTGTGATTCTATAGCTTGGGGCAGAGGGTGGGGTGGTGGGTGATTTCTTTAAGGGGCCCTGAGATGTGTTTGTGGCGTGTGGGAGTGGGGAGCAGATTTGTCTTGCTGTCTTTGTCTGAATTTCCAAGTAAGGGCCGTGTTTTTGTGGATTACCTTCTTGTATTCTTTCTGCCAGAGATCATGCTAGGAGAATGTTGGGGGTAGGATTAGCCTGATTTTTTTTTTCTTTACATTCTTCTTTCTTTCTGTCTGCTCCCTGCTTAGCCCTCAGTTCTTATTCCTTTGGAGTTCTCTTAGAGCAGCCCCTGTTAGTCGGCTGGCAAGAGAATTTCTGGTGACTGTAGTTCCTTAGGTCGTAGCAACCAAACCAAATCAATATGTCCCTTGATTCTCTGCTGTGTGTGTGTGTGCGCGTGTGTATGTATGTTTAGGGTAGAGGGGAGGGAGGAAGCAGGACAGTATGGAATCTCTAGGGTATATGGTTAAGTAGGGGGCACAGTTCTAATGGGCCTTTATGTTAACCTCTGGGGGTGTCTGCTTTGGGGGTAAAGACAGGTGTCACCCTCCCCCCCTTAGTGATTTAGCCCAGACACTCTGCTTGCCCTATGGCTGTCTGCTCCCTGGGAAGGCTTTAGGAGGACCACCCAGGACAAGACGGTCATGCTGCCATCTGCCCTGGAGCTGGATCTCAGTAGAGAGGGAAGTGACTTTGTAGATGGTTGCAGCCTCTGGTGGGAGGAGGGGATGGAAGTGATAAGGGCTAAGAGGGACTTCAGGAGAACTTTGGAGAAGGTCAGTCTTATGGTGATGAAGCCAGAAAACAGGAGAAGGAGCAGGGCCATGGGTGGGAGGAGATTCCAGGGAGGATGCAGGGGAAATCTTGTCTGTTGATGAAATAAGAATGGGGTGGGGGTTAGAGTGGCGTGGTCATTGCTGACTGAGCTGCTGATTCTCATGAGTCTCACTTAAAACTCTCATGTGTAGGGTTGACACGGGTGGGGGGTGGGGGACCCAGCTCATTCTTTTATTTTCAAGTCCATTCTTGTGGCTGGTGGGGAAGGCAGGAGAATGCCCCCTCCCCAAGCCCGTAGTGTGTGCCGAGCTTTCTTTTTGATGCTGGCAGGGGAGGGTGAGAACTGGGGCGGTGACTGAGTACCTTATATCAAACCCTTTGGTGGGCACAAGATTGAGTGCTTGATTTTAGGGTTTTTTTTTTTTTATGAATGTCCAAATGTTTCTCCCTGCCCTCCCAGACTTGTGTGGCCAGTTGGAAGTGTCTGGTTTGTGTTCATCTCCCTCATTTCTGGAGCAGGGACTGAGACCCTGCCACATCTATGCTCTGCATCCACGCCTCTCTTGGACATTAAAGGTTGATTGATGCACCTCTGAGCTGTTTGGGTTTCTTTGGGGGTGAAGGATTGGCCTGGTGGCAGTGGTGCCACACAGTGGATGGGAGTGGAGGGTGCCTAGAGTAGAGCAGAATGGAGACTGAAGAGATAAGACCAGGTAAGAGATACTGATTGGCTTGATGCAGGAATTATTTGTAAGGCCTATGCTTACGCCCCTTAAGTAGGTAAGAACTAACCAGCACACTCACCCACAGGGCTCCTGGGTCTTACCTCCCTTGTTGGGGATAGCCAAGTGAGCCACATTTTGGGTCTTTGGTATAGTAGATGCTGCCTTCCCAGCTGCTGTTCTGGACCTGCCTGAGCTTGGCTTCTTAGACCCTTTGGCCAAAGCTTGTAGCCTTACTCCCCCTTTTAGGTTTCCCTAAGCCTGGAGACTATATCTATTAGCTAAGTCCTGCTCCAGTCATTGAAATGGAAAAGCTGAGAATCTTCAGAAAGATGGGGACTCTTGGTGGAAACTGGTTCTCTGAGTCTTCTAGGTTATCCCAGTTGTCCCACTTGGGGGTTCCTCACCCCTACCCCTTTCCCCCAACACACACCTGGAGAAGTCAATGCCAAGACTTCTGAAGGTATCTGCCCACCCCTGTCTCTAAGCCATCAGTGCCTAGGCTTAATGGCTACAGTTGTGGTGGTGGTGTTAGGGAGCCAGAGGTGCTTTGTTCTCTTTCTGTAGTCGTTCATTCACTCAAAAGCATTTATTGAGTTCTTGTGTGCTTGGGCCTAGGCTGCTGTTCACAAAGGAGATTGAGACAGGCAAGTTCCGTATTTCACTGGCAATCACATTCTAATGGGTAGAGTGGACATGCATGTTAGTAAGCTTTTCCCAATAGTGGTAATTGTGTTATGGAAGAATAAACTGGGCAATGAGCTCTTGAGTGTTGGAGGCAGGTAGATAGGGTTCCTTCAGATACGAAGTAGGTTGGCTGGATCTTGGGGAGAAGACTACCTCTGGGCAAGTGAGGTCCTAAGGGAAGGGATTAAGGGACTCTAGAACCCCAATTTCTGTTACTGCTTTTGCTAGTGTGAGTAATTTGACAGAGGTGGAGCTTTGGTAGAGAGTGAGGCCACATTTCATTTGAAATGGATGTCTCTAGGGCCAAAACGCCTGCCCTGATGGAAGAGGCAATCCAGTTGGCATCTGTGGACAACACATTCCCTTGCAGGTAGGTGGACAGTGCTCATCTGGAAGGCTAATCCTGCAGAGCTTCCTGGAGGAGAGGAGCCAAGGAGGGGAAAGATGTGAGAATGGGTCACAGAAGGGGCTGTGGAAGGCAGATGGGAATTGAGGAATTCTCATGGAAGAATGCAGCCACTATCAGAACTGTGGTGGGCAGAGACAGTGGGGGCATCAGGATCCCCATCTCTTTTATCCTGTTTTCCAGGCTCCCTCTGAAAGGCAGATGCAAGGCTGACCCAGGATTGCAGTCTGTAGGGATCAGTCTTCCTCCTCCCAGGGAACAGAACTGGGAAAAGAGGGGTAAAGAATCTAAGGGGAGCAAATGGGGAATAATCAACATGGTCAGGAGTTGTCTCTGCGGCCATGGTGCTGTCAGACTCTGAACCCCAAACACTAGTGTCCTCTAGTCTAAACCTAAGGTGTGACTGTCCCCTAAACTATTCCTTCACTTCCTTCGGGTCTTTGCTCAAACATCCTCTTATCAGAGTGGCCTTCTGGCCAGTCTGTCTGTATGAAATCATGTATGAAATAGCACCTCTCCCCTACTACTGTTAACCTTACCCAGTTTATTTCTGCATAGCACCTGCCAAGGCTTGACATATTTGTTGTTTACTTGTTGGTCTCTCACAACTAGAATACAAGCTCTGTGAGGGCAATTTCTCTTAACTACATTATCTTCAAGCATGCAGAACAGCACCCGTCCTGTAGGCAGTGCTTGACAAATATGGATGGGTCAAATGTCCTGTCCTCCTGAAGAGACATCTGCCTTTGGTTTGACTTCCTCTAGCTGCGCAAGCCCTGTGTGTTTACTCCTGCCTGGAAAGGAGTGACGGTCACTCCAAGTATGTTCAAGCCTTAGCTCCTCTTACTTACCAGCTATGGAAGAAAGAAATAGTGTGTCCATAAAATGCATTTTATTTATTTTTGGCAGCTAGCCAGTATGGGGATCCAAATCCTTGACTTTGGTGGTGTAACACCATACTCTAACCAACTGAGCTAACTGGCCAGCCCTCATTTTATTTTTAAAGCATTTATTTATGTCACTTAAACCTCAGAGCATCCTTCTGAGCTAGACCCAGTACTCATTAGCCGCATTTTTGGATAAGCAAACTGAATCAGAGAGGGCGAGTGACTTGCCAAAGCCCACATAGCATTACTAGAGCTCAGTACTGTGACTCATAAAGGCTTAACTGGGCTTGACAGTAGGGATCTCACTGGCACAACTTAACATTTAGGCCCAGCTCTCTGAATTTAGTAGTGAATCCCTGGTTCCACTGATGTTCCCTGTCCTGGGGTTCTGGTTTAGCAAGGGGAGGGAGGATAATTTCCTTTCTCTCCCTCCTCTTAACTCCTCTCTACCAAGGCTTGAGGAGCCTTCCTCTTTAAGGACTCATGAGAGGAAAATGAGCCTCCTGGTATTAGAAGAGAGAGCAGAGTCCCAGAGTTCTTATCTCCTAACCTCCCCCTGAACAAAAGGCACAGCCTCCTCACCTCCCTAGTAACAGCGAGTGACCTATCGAACCTGTTGAAGAGGTCAAGTATAACAATGTATCTTTGTGATGTCTATTCATGAATACTCCTGCCTACAGACTGCTACTGTGCCAATATAGAGAGGTTCATAAGAAAAGAACAAGGAGAACCAGCAGAACCTCAGGTTCCTCCTGCCTCTTCTCCCTCACTTTGTCCAAACAAAGGTGTGCAGTGTTTGTGGTGAGGCTGCTGGACTTTGCTAGCTTGGGCTTTCCCGACAGAGGCCAAACATACAAAAACAGTGTGATGGTGTGGGCAGAACACAGGATCTAGAATCCGAAGACCTGGGGTTGAGTCCCAGTTCCAACACTTACCCCCTGTATGAACTTGGACAAATTGCTCTACCTCCATGAGCCTCCATTTCTTCATCTGTAAAATGCAGATAATACGTGTCTTCCGTGAATGGTGGTTATTAGTATCAAATGACATCGTGTATGTGCGAATGCTCTGAAATTGGAAAGCGTTGATGATTAGATGAAGATGCTGATTATTAGGGTATCTGATAAAGCTTGGGGAAATAATAATAGATTCTGGGAAGTCAGGTCCCCTAATTACCCGCTAGACCCTGCCACACCAGCCTTCTCCCTCCCTGCCCAGTTGCACCCATATTATAGGGAAGAAAATTAAGGACCAAACGGGAAGAAATTTACCAAAGGTCACATGAATGTTTGGTACAAGTGGAATGTAAAACTTGGTCTCCTGACTCCCAGGGCAGGTCTGATCCTTGTTTGAGGTGGCAGAACAGACTAATTCATCACTAGGTTCTGAGCCCCCTGCTGAACTCTGCAGTGCTCTGTACTTGGTGGTGGTGTACAGTTTAGTAGTTCTCCGTGTACATGCAAACTTGTGCAACCATCACCACCATTTAATTCCACAACGTGTCCATTACCCTCAGAAGAAACTCTGCACTCATTTACACTCACTCCCCTTTCCTCCTCCCCTGCCAGCCCCGGAAACCACTAATCTACTTTCCAACTCTATGAATTTGCCTGTTCTGGACATGTCATGTAAATGGAATCATACAATATGTGGCCTTTTATGTCTGGTTTCTTTCACTTAGCATGATATTTTCAAGGTTCATCTGTATTATAGCATTTTTCAGTGCTTCATTCCTTTTTCTGGCCAAAAATGTTCCACTGTACAGATATATCACATTTTGTTTATTCATTAGTTGAGGGATATTTGTGTTTTAAACACCTTTTGGCTATTGTGAAAGTGCTGCTATGAACATTCATGTACAAGTTTTTGTGTGGATATGTTTTCAGTTTTCTTGGGGCATCTTTTATTTTTCAATGTCAGGTTTTTTTGTTTGGTTTTTTAAAATTATTTTTATTATCGATTATATATATTTGTGGGGTACAGAATCGAATATCAATACATGTGTACAATATGAGATGATCAAATCAGGATAATTGGTATACTCATGTTTGTAAAACATAATCTTTGTGACCATTAACTAGTTTCTTGCCAACCCCCCTCTACCTCCCCGTTTCCCACCTCTAATAACCACAGTTCTGTTCTCTTTTTTTTTTTGAAAGTTTAATATATTGTGATGGTTTCTTTTTTTCTTTTCTTTTAGTTCCCACTTATGAGTGAGGACATATAGTATTTCTCTTTCTGTGCCTGCCTTATTTCATTTAACATAATTTTCTCTAAGTTTATCCATGTTGCTGCAAATAATTTTATTCTTTTTTATGGCAGAGTAATATTCCATTGAGTATATATACCACATTTTCCTTACACAGTCATCTGTCAATGGATATTTTGGTTGATTCCAACTCTTGCCTATTGTAAATAGAGCTGCAATAAACATGGGAGTGTAGGTATTCCTTCAACATGATGATTTCCATTCCTTTGGGTATATACCCAGTAATGGGATTGCAGGGCAGTTTACTTTTCTATTATTCTAAATCTAGACTGAGGTTGGCAAATTTTTTTCTGTCAAGGGTCAGAGAGTAAATATTTTAGGCTTTTTTAGGCTTTGTGAGCCATATGACATTGTGTGGAATTTCTTCTTTAGGAAAACCTCAGGTCTTCCAACTTGGTGGATCAAGCCACCCATAATATCCAGGATATCTCCTTTCCACAAAGTTAACTGATAGTAGATGTAAATCACATCTATAGAATACTTTCATACTAACACCTACATTAGTTTTTGAATAACTGGGTACTAGAGCCTAGCCAAGTCAACACATAAAACTAACCATCACAGTCCATGTCTAATAAAAGACAGTAATAAAGTCATACTTCTTCATTTCATGAAACAATTTCCT